TTCTGTGATTCTGTGTGATTCTGTGATTCCTTCCACCATCCCAGCGTACAGCCTAACAACTCTTCAGAAACTAAAAGATAGACCAGTGATCTAAAACTCGTTCATGACGAGGGCCTGGCATAAAGCAGCTGTCACCACAGTCTTCATCAGAAATTGTTCACATGAAGGTGTCTCCAAGATGCTCTGCTGTGAACTCTATTATTGTAGAGGTCTGCATGTCAGGTACTTGGGAGCATCTTGGGCACAGGAACACGTCACTCGAACTACTTGCATTTGGGCATGGAAAAATGCTGCAATATCTCTTTGTCAATGAGTACAATCAAAACTAGGTCTTGTGAAAAGGAAAAGGCATGTTCTTTGTGAATGACACTACTACACTTTGATGCCTAAATCCTTGCAAAATCTGCGACCAAATAACGTGAGAAAATGCCTCCTGTTGGAAGGGAGATGAAACGTTTCTGCAGTTGCTTAACATGCCACCTGTTTTTCTTATCAGGCAAAAAAGACAACTGAGAACAATTTTCTCAGTGCAGATAAAGTCTGCAAAACCTTACAAGCATTCAAATCTGTATCTATGAATAAACAAAGCCAGGATTTAGCATGCAAAAGAACCTCATTTTCTTTCACAAAAAGTAAGATGTTCCCTATTAACTTCTGCACTTAAAACTTAGAAACAGGCTCTCTTCAGAAATTAAAAACTCAAATAGTAAGTTTCTGCTGACGACCAGGGTCCCCAGAGTTTCAAATAACATCATTGCTCAAATACAGTCTTGTTAAAGAATCCTATATTTTTCAGACTCACGGAGTAAAAATAGAAGACAAAGCATTATGTGGCTCCCAAGTGCTAAGAACTGTAAAAAGGTTTGCTTAACTCAAACTTCAATCTCATACAACAAGTCAGAAGGCAACTTATCCCCACCTCAGTTTGTCTAAGTTTCACATGGAAGGTTTATCATACACCTAGAAAGCCAGACTTTCTAAGAAAGCACCATCTCAGTAACTGCAGGACTGCTCCTATATTCTGTAGGAATATACTTGTTGAAGTATATATATACACCTGTTCAAGTGCAAAGCTAATTTTAAAATAAATTCAGAGCTAAATACTTATTTATCCCCATTATGCAAACTCAAAGCCAGGAGGATGCTTCAACATGTTTTAATTAACAAAGTCCTGCCACATGACATGAAAAAGATTACTCAGAATTTAGCTATGATATGCAAAAACTGCAGAACTGCACTGTGCCAGACTCTTTAGCTGAATGATCCATTAAGAATATCTTTAACATTTACACCATTAACAGTTGCCATAACAATGTGACATATTCAAAGTCAAGTTCATGCATAAGTTATAAGCTCACTGGAGGCCTACATCTGAATCTACATTAAGTAATCATACCATGGGCGGTGCAGCTTCGTCCATCAATTTCAATATAAGACTCTGTGCTTGCTCTCGAACTTGGTCTTTGGCATCTCCCATACGATCTATCAAAGGCATAAGAACTGCAGGAGAGGGGAAAAAAAAAAGAAAAAATATTAAACACCCAATGAAGATTTTCTAACACTTCAGAGTATTTCCTGAAACAGATTTAAGATACAATGCATTCAAAAATAAAAGCTGATTTTAAGTTGGTCAGAATATTTTGAAGTCTCAAATGTATTTCTGAGTATGTTACATGATTAATAACAAATGCATTGGACTTAAATTGAAGAAAATAGTATCTCCCAACACGCTTAAAAGAAAGCTTCCCTTCTTAAAAACTACAAATTACTTAAATTTAATCTTCAAAAAATATCCCAGTAGCTTCTGAATGTCTGGCTTTTCTGAAAAATAATGCTAGGTCTGGTGAGTGGGAAAGAATTGTGATAGCAAAAAAAGCACTACTTTAAAATCAGTGGGATTTTGCTGTTTAATTACAGTTTAAAAAGTTTCAAATCCTCCCATTCACACAGTGTATCTTCTGCAAACTCAGCCTTACTTCAGTAAAAGTATTGGTAAAAGTTACCATTTTAAAACAAGCATCCTCAAATAGTATTTAACTAAAAATGCGTGATAGCTGATGATTTCATATCCTAAAAATCCATACTCACTCAAAATGAAAGGACTTACCAATTCGTTTCACTTGCTTATCCAGAGAGAAGCTTATAACTACATCTGACAGACAAATTAATGCTATAGTATTTAGGAAAGTTATCTGAACGAACGCTTAGATCAGCGTTGTGCAAGACATCCTGCTACACTGGTTCCCAGTCCTCCATCTCAGGCCTACACACACACTTTGCAAGATGCTTCCTCCCAGTGCTTTTGGTACCAGTTCTTAAAAACCGGGGGTGATGACACAGAGTGTCCCACCTTCCCCGAGGACGTACAACTGACATGGACTTGGCAGAGATGGCATCATCTCCATTGGGACAGTGCTTTTCAAGTTAAACACCACCTAGAAAAAAGCAGTGTCACATGCTGACAGTAACATTTACCTATTAACAGCTCAGCCTTCTGCATTAGCTTTTGTTTCTGATCTTATCCACAGGTTTTTTAAGAGCTGTAAGTACCAGTCACGTAATTTAGGCGAAACCTACTCAACACAGACCACAATCCCCACCCAGCCCATCCTTGTGTTCCTGTACTCCTATAAAGCTGGGGCTAAGTTTGCAATTACCAGGCCATTTATTCCAAACTTCTAAAACTGGCATAATGTTTACCTTGAGTCTTTTGGAGACTTGCTCATATTCCAACAAAAAAAAGATACAGTAACAGCTAAAGTCACCTTATGCAGTGTATGGTGTCACATCTCTGAACACCTTAGAGTATTTTATAGTTGCTGCCTGATCTCTCTCAGCTGCTAACCGCTAAAAAATTAATTTTCCTATTCTACTCAGAGAAGAAATAACTATCACCCTATTTTTTGCAAGGTGGATATGAAAGAATTTTAACAGTACTTAATAATTTTACAGTAATCACTACACACTAGCATTGTCAGCAAAAGAAAGGGAACAGAATCAGGAACTTGGGAGCTCTCCTCAGTCCTCTGTTCCAACATTAAAAACAGCAGCCATTTCTATACCATGATTATTTTTGAACAAATAACACTGCTAAAACTTGAACTTCCCCTCTTGCTGTATCTGAACACTTTGTAATTATCCTGATTTGAGTATTTGACTCTACTGGCTCTGGATATTCCACTGACATCCTTAGCTGCTATCATCAAGTTTGTGCATTTTTAATTTATCTTCTTTTCCCTTCCTCCTCTGAATAAATCATTGCAGCTATCTTAATTTTACAGTTTGAAGAGAAAGGGTTTGTTTAGGTTTCGGGTTTTTTGTTTTGTTTTGGGGTTTTGTTGCTGTGGAGGTTTTTTGTTTATCTGTTTTATGCTGGGTTTTGTTTGGTTTGAGTTTTTTTCCATTTTACAAACACAAAAGAAACATCCAAAACTCGAGAAGTAAATTTACTGAGTACACAGCTGCCCTCTCCCCTAAGTTTCCAATCACTCATATACTTACTGGTTACATTTTTCATCTCAACAGTATTTTTCATTACTATTTTCAGCACTTCTAAACTGACATTTACCCATACCATATGTTGCCACTGAAGTCCACTACATTAACCTGACTGTTGGGCAGCAGAAGGCAACTCTTGCTTTACGGAAAGGGAAACAAACTCAGGCACTGAGAAGCTGCTCCAGCGGAGAGAAATGTTGTGAGTGCCGGTCCTGCGGGAACACGGCTCCTTTGTGAGGAATTGGCACGCTGAGTCAGTCGGCGGAGCTGCAGATACCAGGGCTCTGCTGAAATCACCACGGCGAGCACAGAGAACAGCTACCAGAAGCCGCCAAACAGAGCTGAGGTCACTGAGTTAAACTAAGCTATGACACAACCCCGTGCGCAGCTACTCAACATGCCAGCCTTTGTCATTCACGGAGCTCTACCAGAGCTGTGGGAGCTATTAAAGGGGCCAAAAGTTGGCAGGCTTGACTTTTCACCCTCTCAAATCTCGAATTTCTGTAAGACCCCATATACAACATGATATATTCTGTCTGCATAAGACAAGTGAAATTAGGCTATTGAATGCTGGCAACCACCAGCTGGTTTTCAGCTTGGTAGTTCATCTTTTCTGTCAGAATAAGCTCCAACAGGAAATTACTTGAAGTTGGTTGCTTACTGAAGATGTTTCAGAATGCTTCACCAGACGGAGATCTCCACCAAACATATTTCAACTTGAATATCTAGTGCCTTCATCACTTTTTCTCCAAATGTTAAGGCATGTCTAGGGAGAACTATTTATTTTATTGCTCTTTCTGCATTAGTGAAAAATGGCTTAGTCGTGTTAGATGTCCTTCCTAAAAGTGAGTAGGAAACGTGTCTCCCTACCTAAAAGTTTACTAGAAAGCTCTACCTACTCACTACCCCAACCAAGCCCATCTCATGCCTTGTACCAATATTTATCTGCTTTCAAGGTGAACCACTGACATTCCAGATGATACACACATGTCAATGAAAAGCAAGAGCTAAGAGGTACATTGGAATTGAGTGAACAAGAACAGCCTGTGGAGATTTTGGGACCTTAGGAAGTTTCTGCTGGGTATTTGTGCACTAAGATTTTATAAAAAGATTTTTACCTTGGTCAGCTTCAGGCAGATTTTTAGCCCTACTAGGAACAGCTGAAGTCGTATTCGCAATACAGGGGGAAACTTTACCAAAAAATAAGTCTCTGCTTTAGAAGATTAGAGCACTACTGCATCCCTAAGAACAGATGACCAGAAAATACAGCACTAAGATCAATGCTCCTCCCCCAACTTCATTCCAAATACAACTGGAACAATCATTTTGGCTAATACTTTTAAGTTTTACACATTTTCTCATCAGTATTCTCAAATCAGCGTCTTTCATTATGCTGCAGTGCAAATACATGCACTTGGTCACTTCTGGCATCAGTCTGCAAACTAAATCTTAAATAGATGTTGGGGTTAAAACAAAGGTTACCCAGTGAAGCACAGAATTTGTCACATTCAGTATGGGTTCACACATTCCTATTGTTTTATACCCACCTCATCCAGCTTACTACTTCTGTTGCCTAGTTTCATTAATTATTTCAGAGGGATTTTGGAAAACCTAATAACTTATTCACAACTTTCTTCATTTTTTTTCTGCTGATATGCAGTAAAATATTATATTACATTTAGAAGACACTGATTCTCTTTGCAGTTGTTGGTTATTTTTTGCAAAGCCAAAAAGCACTGTATCCCATTCAATTTGCCTTTTCACCACTTCGCATATAGTCAGTTTCCTATCACTACGAGCAGCTCCTGAGTTTTTCCTGTTAAGATTTCTACACTGTAGTATCACTGCTTTACAGGTTTTGATTACTGAGGAAAAATTAGTGTCAGAATTAATGTGTGCTATAGAATATTTTTACTACCAGATGTACCTCAAACTGACCTGTTATTACCATCTGAGCTGCTCTTCATACCTTTTTCCTTTTTAATTGCATAATAGTTACCCTTCTAATATCCCTAACAGAGCTTATTATTCCATTAGTTTCTTTTCCATTGTTTGTCTTCCTTCTCTTGGCTCAGTAAACATAAATAAATTTTCATTTATACAAGTCCATATAATGATTTTATCAGCACTAGTTGGACAGTAGATGCAAGAGTTAAGGCCAAAACCAGGCTGGAGAGTCAGACTACAGCCTTGAGAGACTAAATATTTATTTCTTCCACTCGGACTGAAGATGATAAACAAGTAAAACACAGAAGTCAGTACCCTGAATGGCACCTAATGTATTTTTTTTAATCCTGAGCAGTTTAGATGTATGATCCCCCTGCAGCAAAGAATGCCACAGGTAGCACAAACTATTTCCTTCTGTTAAACTTTAACAGGAGTTCCTTCTTTATGACACAAATAGGGAGCTTTTCAGTTAGTGTTATTGCTCACAGCTCCCTCTCTATTCCTTCTCTTGACCACCTATACCTGCTTTTTTTAAGTGCCCATTTTATGCACACCCTCTCATTGCCAACCACTTCTATGAAGCAACTTTAGAGTCCATGTCTATGCTACTACAGACTTACAAAAAAGCATTAAGCAAGTAAGAATCTTTACCAAGGAATCAGTGTCGGCAAAAATTCCGTTACTAAAAAGTCTATTTTCTTGTCTTAGATATTAAAAGAAATGGCTTTGATGAGAGAAACATATTAAACCTAGGCACCAGTACCTTCCTAGTTTCCTCAGAAACCTTGCCAGGTCAGGCAACAACATTAAATAGCTCCCATTAAAACAGAGGGAGGGAAACAGCTGCTGCTGCAATTAAAACAGCCTCTGTAATTCTGAGTAAGACGCATGGGAAAGAAATGAGTCCCACAGAGGCTCCTGTGGGGCCAGCGATAGGGCCAGGGTGACAGACACACCTAAGCTACACCTAAGCAAAGAGTCACCAGCATGCTCTCAGAAAGGGCCTCACTGCTCCCCTCCTGATACTCCTCCTTCCCCTCCGCAAGATAAAGTCC